GCGGCGGCGGGGCGCTGACATGCGGCGCGGCCCGGGCGGCGGCGGCAGCGTTGGCGGTGGCGGCGCGAACGGCAGGCGCCGGAGCAGAGCGAGCAGCCGAGCGGTTGGCGTCCCGGGTCGGGCGCACGGAGGGCGGCGGAGGTGAGCGATGGCGCGGGTTCGGGTCTCCGAGGCCCGCAGGTGCGCGCATGGGGTCGCGGGCAGGACTCCAGCCCCGCGGGCTGCCCATTGTTGCCGGTCGGCGCCCGGAGGCGGGTCTGCGAGTGCCCGGTTGAGGAGCCTGTCCTGGGCAGTCGAGCGCTGCCTCTGGTGGACGGGAGCGCGGTGAAAGCCCGGGACCCGAGGGTGTCCAGGGGCTGACGTGGGGTCGACTGCGGGTGGATTGCTGGCGCGCGCGCCCGGCCAGGACCGGGGGTCGGGGGGGACCGCGTGCGTGGGGGCTCGCACGGAAGGAACCTGGGATCGAGGGGGCGCGCGCGTGGGGGGCGCGGGCTGGGAGTCCGCGATCAGAGGGCTCAGGCTGGGGAATTCGGGATAGAGGGGTGCGTGCTTGGGGACTTCAGCCGTGGGGGCACAGTGTCAAGGAATGAGCGAGTGGAGGTGTGAGCTGCGATCAGGGTCGGGGCCACACTAGGAGCCTCGGGCTGGAGGAACACAGGGTCGAGGACGCACGCGTGGTGGGCTGGCGGACACAGTTTCGGTGGCCGGGCTTGGCGGGGAATGGGATCGGGACCGGGCCAGGGTCGGTCGGTCGGTCGGTGCTGAGCGCACTCCTCGCTGACCCGCAGGTGCGGCCCGAAGCCATGGTGATCATGTCGGAGTTCAGCGCGGTCCCCTCAGGCACCAGCCAGGGCCAGCAGAAGCCCCTCCGGGTGGGCTTTTACGACGTGGAACGGACCCTGGGCAAAGGCAATTTTGCAGTGGTTAAGCTGGCGCGGCACCGAGTCACCAAAACGCAGGTGCGCGCGCGTGTTGTGTGTGTGTGTGTGTTGGGGGGTGGTGGTGGTGAACTAAACCAGGGGGTGGATCCAGCCAGGGGGTGGACCCCTGTGCTGATTCAGTCCTGCAGAGTTGATTGTCACTATTGTAAACGATGACAGTGTTTAGTCTGGTAAAGGGGGAAAAAAGCTTTGTGTTATGCTTCCGTATAATTTGTACAATTACTAGGGAACACCAAAGATAATAATGACCAGCAACTGCCCCCTCCCCCGAGAGAGAGAGAGAGAGAGAGAGAGAGAGAGAGAGAGAGAGAGAGAGAGAGAGAGAGAGAACAACAGAAATGAGCGGCTCCTTGTAAAGCTAGCTGACAAAATGACAAAATACAGGGTCTTTAATTTAACTTCTATCCCTTTAAATAATGTTAGTGGCTACTTTTATTATTTTTTCTCTACTTCTTGTTACCTCTTGAAGACATCAAATGTTTGAGAAATTCACTTGCCAAAAAAGAAGTGCAAATGAGGTTACTCGAACGTTTATTTACCTCCCCCCCCTTTTCTTTTTAAAATCTGTAGGTTGCAATAAAAATAATTGACAAGACACGGTTAGATTCTAGCAATCTGGAGAAGATTTACAGGGAGGTTCAGCTCATGAAACTCCTGAACCACCCGAATATCATCAAGCTTTACCAGGTGAGCCGGAGGATACTCTGTGGACACATCCATTGTCACATGCCACACCCCGAGCCTTCTTGGCTCCCTGAAAGTAGTCCGGGGTTTCCAAGGCTGTGTGGGAACCGAACCTTGGGAGTGCAAAGTAAACAGATTGACCTTCCCAAGGCCAGCCACCTTTATTTGACTGTTAGTCCTCTTGCTCTGGGTTCTCCTTGATTGTGCCTCGTGCTAGTTTTAGCGAGTATTGTAATTTGTTCCCGTTTTGGACGTGTGGAGGTCCGTTGATGAAAGTCCTGTCGCTGTGAAGATAGCCATATGCATGTACGGTCAGGCTTTTGAGCTTAGGACAAACTTGAGCGAAACTCAAAACTTCTGCCTTTGCAGAGGATTGCTAAACATTAAAAAAGCAGCTGTTCTCTCCCAGGTTCTCCTTAATGTATCTTTGGGATGCAGCAGCCCTCCCTCGGCTCCTGAGTGTAACCCAGAGTGCTGAGGGAAGACAGGGAGAGACTTCAGCCTAGGCACTTGCCATTTTATCTGAACTGAGGACGTGCCTCACCCGTATGTCTGTCTGTTGTTTCCTGATGATGTTCCTCAGTCTGCCTTGTGATAACTGGTCACTTCTGCTGCCGTGAAATAACTCTGTGTGTCAAGGAGCCAGCCCTTGCGGATATTGTTGTATCTGTTTCTGTTGGCGTGTAGGTCCTGTCAGTGACTCCCAGGATCCTCATGTGCCTGGGGTGACTGCAGGGGACAGTTGGAAAAGCTGTGTGTACCGTTCAGGAGGGGAGAGAACTGTAATTTAAAATTACCCCTGGCCAGTCCTTCTCAGGACAAAGGCAGACAAGTCTCTGGAGCTTGTGTTTGGTTTTTGGTCACGGCTCCCTCCGAATTTCTTATGCATACAGCCCAGGGCTGTGCACTCAGGGGTCGTACGTTATTTCATCTTGGTCTCTTAAGTTGTTCTCGAAGACAGGTTTCCTCCGGGGCCAGTGCTTGAGAGAGGAGGCTGGGGGAAGGGTTGACTCCTGTGCTCCTGCCTGTTTGTGGACACCAATCTATTCTGTCTTAGCACTCTCTTCCTGCCTTCCGCTTGCCCACCAGGTCAGACTCATACCACTGAGGAAACGTTACCCGGGCGATGGATGTCAGAGTGGATATTTTAGCTCCTGTCTTCAGTGACTCAGCTTTCAGGACTGGGTGGGCTGCTGAGGCCAGTCGCTCCTCTGGTTTTGATACTGGTGTCTCGCATTCATTCAGCTAGCCTCGGGACCTAGAGCCCTGCTGAGGGCTTCCATTCTCTCCTTTGGGTGGGGGTAGGGAGTGTCTGTCTGGTTGTGTCTGTTGAGATAGGGTCTTGCAGTATAACTGCTCTAGCTGGCCGGCCCTGGTACTCTCTGTGTCCTGATAGCCTTAGACTTGTGGCAGTCTCCTGCTGTAGTCTCTGAGGCTAGATGTCTGCCACCACAGTTGGTTTATTTTGGGTCTTAAAGGGTTAAAAGATGTAGCCGTTAAGTTTGTTTTCCTTCCTCTTTTCTTCTGTCAAGAGAAAGCAGAGGTCTTCTGCCGCACTGTGGGGAAGGGGAAAATTTTAGCTGAATTGCTATGGTTTTTAATAATGCTTTTCTTAGTAGAATTTATCACTCAAAAAGCATCTTTAAAGTATCTTCTAAAGAAATGACAGTATGTCTTAAACCCAAAGAAATCTTTCTTTCTATTGGAATACAGTCTCTTTCTCCCCCTGACATGTTTTCTTTCTTTATTTGTATTGAGACAGTTTCACTACGTAGGTAGACTGACTGGGCTAGGACTTGCTATGTAAACCAGGCTGGCCTTGAACTGCCGGTAATTCTGCCTCTGCCTCCAGAGTGCTGGGATTGTATGCCACCATACCTGGCTCCCCTGGAATATTTAACCTATGCATATGCGTAAGTGTATTTTTGATTTGTTTCAGAATCAAAAAACAACAACAACAAAAAAAAACAATAAAACCCTGAATCTTTGTTGCATAGGTATGGTTTAAGTCACAAAGTTGCTGATCAATAAGTGAACTCTGAAGGTGTATGTTGACATTGACCATTACTGTTGACACATGCCAGGCTCTGCACTGTACAAAGAGCAGTCCCCTTGTAGCTTACCTGGCAAGGCAGTGTTCTTAAAGGCTTAATGTCTTGTCAATAAAGCGAGTGGGGGTGGGGTATTTGTATTGATCACTCAGGCTGTTTTTGGTTTTTGTCCACGGGGCTTCCGAAAGGACACTCCCAGGATTCTGGCACCCATAGCCTCCAGAGCTCCCAGGAGGCATACAAACCAAATGCTTACCCTATACAGTCTTGTTTGTGGCTCTCTCCCTTTGAAGAGGAGGGTTGCCAGGAAACACAGGACAGGGGAGATGGCAGGGCGGAGGGGCTTCTCCCAAGGTGTGTAAAGTTGCTTCTCTGGGTTGTGAGGTTTTTTTTTCCCCCCCTCCCTCTCTTCTTCCTTAAATGATGCAGGCAGTTTTTTGAGAGATCAAAGGTTGCTTGGGGTTCAAGTGAGACCATCGCGGCTTCTGTGTGAGCCTTTCTCCTCCACTTAAGTTTTTCCTTTCTTGTTGCTGTTGTTTCAGGTTATGGAGACAAAGGATATGCTCTACATAGTCACAGAATTTGCAAAAAATGGAGAAATGTTCGGTGAGTCGCATTTGTCATTGTCATAGCATTAGGTGAAACCCGCCTGTGTATGCCTCCATCTCCTGTGGTTCTCAGCTCATCTTTGCCCAGGTCACCGGGTAGGCTCAGCATCTTCTGTTATGACTTTGTGACTTTGCTTTGCCATTCCCTCAGATTATCTAACTTCCAATGGGCACTTGAGTGAGAATGAGGCTAGGAAGAAGTTCTGGCAGATTCTGTCGGCCGTGGAGTACTGCCATAATCATCACATTGTCCACCGGGACCTCAAGACAGAGAACCTGCTGCTGGACGGTAACATGGACATCAAACTCGCAGGCAAGTGTGTGTGTCGAGGAGCAGGGTGTGGGGGTTGGGGGGACCCCTGTGGGATGCTTGCTTCTAGCGCACCCTGCAGCCACAGAGCTTGCCAGTCCCAGACTGATGCCAGTGCCTCTCCCTTTTGCCTCTACAGATTTTGGATTCGGGAATTTCTACAAGCCAGGGGAGCCTCTGTCCACGTGGTGCGGGAGCCCCCCCTATGCAGCTCCCGAAGTCTTTGAGGGGAAGGAATATGAAGGTCCCCAGCTGGACATCTGGGTAGGGACCCTTTTTGGACCCTGCTGCCTGCCAGCACCTCCCTGGAACCAGGCAAGCAGGGTCCCAACAGGAGCTGTCTGGTTGGTCGTTCACAGAGCCTCGGCGTGGTGCTCTATGTCCTGGTCTGTGGCTCCCTCCCTTTCGACGGACCCAACCTGCCTACGCTGAGACAGAGGGTGCTGGAGGGTCGCTTCCGCATCCCCTTCTTCATGTCTCAAGGTGGGTGAGCGTGGAGCTGGTCTGCTCTGGGAGCCTTGGGTAAACTGGGCGGTGGCTTTAGGGAAGTGGCAGTGGGTGGGTCTTGGCCATGCCTGCCCAGCTGTCGAGCAAGTCTGCAGTCAAGTCAGGGCTCAGGGCTGGGTGATCAGGACTGCAAGAAACTCAAGCCTCGGGTACTTTCCAGTGCCCTACTTACAGCTCAGACAGGATCTTCTCCCTGCAGCGTGTCTCCTATGAACCTGTCTCTGCAGTCCCCCCCACTAGCCAGGCCCTTCATCTTTGCAGCACCCCACCACCACCACCACCACCACCGTCAGGCCCCAAGATGCCCCTCACACACAAAAGGTTTTCTGTTTTATAAAGATGCCCAGCCTCGTGTGGTACCACAACAGGAGGGAGAGTCTAAATGGTTTTCTACAGGGGGTACTTAGAAAGATAGAGTGTCTTCTCTGGATCTGGTCGCCAACATGGCAGCTCTTTTCTGGAGCAAGGGGGAAGACTAAAATGATAGCTTCAGACTTCTTGACTGTCCTGGGGGTGGTTTCTGCCTGTTTGACGAGCACCACAGGGGGAGTAGGAACGAGCCCCCCGGGCCTAGTGCCCCGTCCTCAGTGTGAGTCCTTCGCTTCCACAGACTGTGAGACACTGATCAGGCGCATGCTGGTCGTGGACCCTGCCAAACGCATCACCATCGCCCAGATCCGCCAGCACCGATGGATGCAGGCTGACCCCACACTCCTGCAGCAGGACGATCCCGCCTTCTCCATGCAGGGCTACACCTCCAACCTGGGTGATTACAACGAGCAGGTGCTGGGCATCATGCTGGCCCTCGGCATCGACCGGCAGAGGACGATAGAGGTGAGCGTGCAGCGTGGCCGCACCTAGCCCTCACATCCCTGGGATGCCGGTGGGATCCGGTTTCTCGGGCAAACCGGGCATTTGCCTGTGGAGTTTAAGAGCCAGCTTGTCTAAGGATGTTCTTGGCTGCCCGGGAGTTACCTGGAGTAGTCTCACCGGGGAGCCTAGTGGTCAGGGAGGCCGAAGCCTCATTCTCACCCTACTGTCCCTGCTCCCTAGTCTCTCCAGAACAGCAGCTACAACCACTTTGCCGCCATTTACTACCTCCTGCTCGAACGCCTCAAGGAGCATCGAGGCACCCAGCCCTCGTCCCGACCCACCCCTGCACCTACCAGACAGCCCTCGCTCCGAAGCTCAGACCTCAGCAGTCTGGAGGTAAGGACGAGCCCCCTCTCAAAGCCCTGCTCCCTCCCGTCCCTTTGAGATGTCCCCTCAGAGCTCGGAGTCCTGTGCTGACTGACACAGCACTGACTCTCAGAGCCTCTTTGCGAGCCTCGTTGTGTTTCAGCCACAGGCTGTGGGAAAAGGAGGGGTTCTGGGAAGTGGAATGTGGGGGAAGCTATGGCTACTCTACTCTGGGCCAGGACCAGTCACCTCACAGACGAAGACTGAGCCCCTAGCACCATCAGCTAGCATCTATCTGGCCTCTGTCCATTTTAATCTGTAGGACCAGCCAGCTGCCACCGGTAGTTGACCCCGGAAGTACTCCCTAACCAATCCATCCCTCCTCTCTGGCCCCAAGGTTCCTCAAGAAATTCTCCCGTGTGACCCTTTCCGGTCCTCTCTGCTGTGCCCACAGCCCCAGGCCTTGGTTCAGTCTGTCCTGCAGGCCGAGATAGACTGTGATCTCCACAGCTCACTTCAGGTATGTGCATGCTGGGTTCCTTTCTCGCTCTTTCCTGATGGCTTTGTTCCACCGGGATCCATCCTAAGAGCCCCGGAAGTGACCGGCTTTTGTCTCTCTCTTGCAGCCCTTATTTTTCCCCCTGGATACCAACTGCAGTGGAGTGTTCCGCCACCGATCTGTCTCTCCCAGCAGCCTGCTGGACACAGCTATCAGCGAGGAGGCCAGGCAGGGTCCCGGCTTGGAGGAGGAGCAGGAGGTCCAGAAACCCCTGCCCGGCAGCACGGGCCGGAGGCACACACTGGCTGAAGTCTCCACCCATTTCTCCCCGCTCAACCCTCCTTGTAAGTCCAGAGACCCAGCACCCAGGGTGAGGGCCAAGATCACTTGAAATGGGCCCTTGGCCTGGTACCCTCCCTCAGGTTGCCTGGCACCCTCCCTCAGTTAGGTTTTGTTTTGTTTTTAGTGACCCATGGTCACAAATGTGCTCATCTCAGTGGTGGGCCATCCCTTGGCTGTCCCAGGCACTGGAGGGCAGATGTTTTGCCTTGGGCCTCTTCCTGTTCTGGGGTCTGAGCCTTGCTGGTTAGCTTACCCTCTGCCCCTTGTACCTCTGGGCTCCTAGCCAGGGCCTCTGGGCTCTGGTGGCCTAGATTAAGCTGGAGTTGGGGAATACCATACCCTAGCCTCTCCTCACTTAACGGCCAAGTACCTTATCCCTCAGGCTGCACGCTAGGGTTTGAGGTCTCCTGCTCAAGTACTCAATCTTCCCACAGGCATAATTGTCTCATCCTCTGCCACGGCAAGTCCCTCGGAAGGAACTAGCTCCGACAGCTGCCTCCCCTTCTCTGCCAGTGAAGGTCCCGCGGGGCTTGGTGGCGGCCTGGCCACCCCAGGGCTGCTGGGTACCAGCTCTCCAGTCAGATTGGCCTCGCCCTTCCTGGGATCCCAGTCAGCCACCCCTGTGCTCCAGACTCAGGCAGGGCTGGGCGCAGCTGTCTTACCTCCTGTCAGCTTCCAGGAGGGACGGAGAGCGTCGGATACCTCTCTCACTCAAGGTAAGGTCCCACTCCATGCCTGTCCCTCCTGCTCCACGGGGTGCTACTGTCCTGGCAGGCCATCTCTGTCCTTGACGGGAGTTATATATGTCATGTCCCCAGCTAGAGCAGGGTCATTGTGCTTCTCAGACAGTCTGGAGGTGCAACCCCAGTTCTAGGCAGCCTGGCTTCCAGGGTAGACTCAGACCTGGTCCTGAGTGCAAGGGAAAACCCATTCTGGGCAACAAACAGGAGGGCCAGGGTTGAGGAAGGGACCTTTATGAAACAGTCCCATGCCTGCCACTCAGGGTCAGGGGACCTGTGAGGCCCTCTATGTCTTTGTCAGTCCAGGCAGCTTCCAGAGCCCAGGGCACCTCACACTCCTCCACAGCATCCCCAAATACACCTGTGGGAGGGCCCACAGGCCCAGACCTAGGAAGAAGACTGGCCATGGAGGAGGTGTGGATTTTGGACTCAGGAGCTGGCAGCTGACAATCGAGGCCTGTAGGGAACTTTGATCATAGCTGCCCAGTTATTCCCTCCTCCTCAGGGCATGGAAACTCCAGCAGGCTGAAAGCTGTCGGCCATAACCTAGAGCCTGGCCTGCTAATCCACTGCTTTTATCTCCATAGGGCTGAAGGCCTTCCGGCAGCAGCTGAGGAAAAACGCGAGGACCAAGGGGTTCCTGGGACTGAACAAGATCAAAGGATTGGCCCGCCAAGTGTGCCAGTCCTCTGTCCGAACTCCCCGGGGAGGGATGAGTACCTTCCACACCCCAGCCCCAAGCTCAGGCCTGCAAGGCTGCACAGCCAACAGTCGGGAGACCAGGAGCGTGCTCGAAGAGGTCCTGCACCAGCAGAGGTAGGCCTGACATACTGTTCCTGTGCTCTTAAGGACCCCATGAAACACACATTCCCTGTGTGCTGAGATGTCCCCTGTCATGTGGTTCCTTAGGGAGCTTTTTTGTCGGGGAGAGACCAAGGAGGGGCAGTGGGCGGGTTTAGTAACCTTGAGGGCAATGGTGACCAAGACTCTCCTGTTTGAGTCTTAACATCTCTGAGTTGTCACCACAGCCAGGGCGTAGGGCAGGATGGCTCAGGGATGTGTCACGTCACACACAAAGCTATGGGAAATCCCATCTGCCGAACGAAGCTTTGAGGTGGGTGGGACCCACCTGGGCAGTGTGGAAACCAGAGAGCTGCTGGGCAGAGCCAACAAGGGTGACTGACCTCGTCCCTCCCTCATCTCTGTCCTCCAGGCTGCTCCAGTTACAACACCACACAGCCACCTCATCTGGCTGCCAGCAGGGCCCTCAACTGTCCCCTGTCCCCTACGTGCTCACTCCCTGTGACGGCCTCCTCATGTCTGGAATCCCACTGCTGCCTACGCCCCTCCTCCAGGCTGGCATGTCCCCCGTGGCGTCCGCCGCCCAGCTCCTGGATGCCCACTTGCACATCAGTGCTGGCCCGGTGGCCCTCCCCACTGGGCCCCTGCCACAGTGCCTCAGCAGGCTGTCCCCAAGCTGCGATCCCACTGGGCTGCCACAGGGGGACTGTGAGATGGAGGACCTGACCTCTGGCCAGCGGGGGACATTCGTCCTGGTACAGTGAAGGTGGCTCTGCCGCATCCCCCTCCCCGCTCCTCCATGGCCGATTGACTTCCAAGCAATAATTACAGAGTATGTGAAGATGGTTTCTGGACTCAAACGCCAAGAACTTTCTAGACGTGAAACAAGCAATATGTTTGGTGTATGGGCTTTTTAGGATTTGGGGTTTTTTTTGTTTGTTTGTTTTTGTTTTTGTTTTTTTTTTTCCTTGCACTGAGTGACCTCAATGATAAGTAGGGACTGAAACTTTCTGAAGAAAAATAATAATTGAGAGTATGTCGTGTGGGCGGGATGATGGGAGGGAAGGACAATAAGAGGAGAGAGGCCCTCGAGGCTGGGCTGAAGGAGAAGAGGGGGGCCACGCTGCTCAGGGACCTACACTCCCATTCACGGTCGTGTCACCTTCACGTGATAAGCTTGGACATCCCTGGAGGGGGCAGCTCGTGCTGTGGCTCGTGCCTGTGTGTCGCTTGGCATCGTTTTGGGTTTGGGTTCTCGGCTCTCCACTTCTGAGGCGCTCGTCCTTCAGACAGAAACTGTGAACTTGCTGCTTCACGTGTGGGTTTCAGAATAGCCAAGGATCAGCCTAGGGGAAGACCTCGAATGAATTCTTGTCGTGTCTCAGCTTGAGATTTCGTAGCTGCTCAAGTCAGTCCGCCAGGCTTACTCAGAGGGCTGGGAGCGGGTAAAGGACCGTGGTCACTTGGGCCAGAGCCCCTCACAGCGCAAGGAAGCCGAGAAGTTCCCTCCTGCCTCGTACCTCGACTCTGCTGCTAATTATCAGATTTTTACGCATTTCATTATCAGGGTCCCCGAAAGAACGCCTGACTTGGGGAAAATGTGCAATACCAAGGGGCTGTGACCAGAGGGACCCAGGCAGCCAGTGGGCATCTCGGTTATGACCACCTTGCCCTTGGTCTGGGACCTTTCCTGGTAAAAGCCTGCCCCTCCCCAGCCCCCCAGGCCTGGGCTCTGTCTGGTTTGCTTTCCAGGAAGATCATAAGTATAGGTCAGTGTTTGAAAAGTTTCTTTTTAAAACAAATACTGTACATGTATGTATATGAACAGGAGACAGACACTACTTATTTTTTTTCTATTTTGTATACACTTTTGTGTTGTTCCTGGCTTAAAAACCTCCCTTGGTCACATTAAGTTGTCCTCATGTTTATGGTGAAAGGGCCTTAGGCTGCCCACCTCCAGCACAAGGTAGAGGTGTCAGGGAAGGAATGGCCCCCACCTGACAAGTTTACCTGGGCAACTAAGGCCCAGGCAACAGCTGTGCCATCCAAACACCTCTGGAAGGAACCAGGGATGTCAACCCTTCCGACTCGTTCCGCGGTCAGGCGTCTGTCCTTCTGCCTCCCGGGTGACTTCCACCACCGCAGCTCACCACGGCAGTATTAACCTGAGGTCGTTAAGGGAGAAGAAAGGAGACACTTTCAAAAGCCAAAGATTGACCGAGTTACCTGAGGCCAGGAAGAGGCAGCACTAAAACCTGATGTCATAGCGTGGTCCTCCCTGTTGGCCCCGTGGCCCATCCTATACCGCCTACCTTCAAAACGGGCGAAGGACCTTTCTTCTGGGTCAGAACCGGTGCCCTCCATAGAACAAACCAAAAAGTGTCCCTCCTACCAACTCACCTGACGTGTGGATCAGGGAAGCGCCCAGTATCCTGGGCAGCCAGCCCTCCTCTCTCACAGTTCCTGTCCGGATACCACAGATCAAAGGCCTGGATACTGCTGTGTGTCAGAAGCGACGAGCACTTTACTTTCTGGCGGTTTTTGTGTCTTCTAGTCGCTGTCGACCCTCTGGGGGACAGTAACGTCATGGTTTTTAGTTCTTGGGTTTTTTTTTTTTTTTTTTTTTTTGGCGTGTGTGCTGTGTATTTTGTAGAGCCTCACGGCCCTGTACTGGACTGTAATGGAATCGCCTATTTAAAGACACTACGTGATCTTAGATGTATATAACGGTTTTCTTTTTGGTTTTTTTGGTTTTTTTGGTTTTTTTTTTTTTTTTCACTATGATGGAATTGTTTCATTTCTCATGTTAACGTGAGGGTCGTATGCCAAACGATTAGTTGATGTATTTTTTTTAATTTAATATTTAAATAAAATATTTGGGGGGAAATCTTGACTTTCCCTTGGTTCACCTCTGGGAGCTCATTCCTTTGAGACACTATTGGGAGTCCACAACAGGCTGAACTGGGTCCAGGCCTGCCACACGGTCCTGTCTTAGCGCCAAATCAAGAACAGGCATTTCCTGGCTTCCCTCCTTCCAAATGTACTCTAGATCCCTTTGCAAGTTCTAGAAGTTTTAAGCCTTTACAGATTTTAGAAGAATTTCACGGGGAAACTTGCCTGGCCTGAGTCTTGACTAACTTTGGGTAAAGAAAATTCTTCGACATTGCCATGGAATGGAGCCCCAGGAGTGGGAGGAACCGTAGCATAAACTCCATAGAGGATAAGTACTTAGCCTTCAAAGTGGAAAGAACCCTGGCAGGAGCAACTCCCAGGGGTATGTTCAGTGAGATGAATCAGTAACAGACAGGGGCAATGACTGCTCTCCTACGGGGACCTAAAGAGTGGGCCACCTCAGAAAGTGGCATGGTGGCTTAGGGACTGAGATCTAGCTTGGGACAGTGGGAGCCTCCTAGAGGTGAGGGCTACACAGACACAACATAACCGCTGAACTGTGCCTTCCAAAAGCAGGGGTGGTACATATCATGTTGGATCTGTCACGCCACAAAGTAATAGAGAGAAAAGACCCAGAGAATGGGCAGTAACCGCCAGAAAGAGCCAGAAGGAACCTTGGCAGAGCACATAGGGCTGGAAACATGGCTATGCCACCGCAGGTGGTGAGAACCCAGACTCTTCTCCAGGGCTCTCAGGATGCGTGAGGAGCATTGTTCCCAGGGACTCAGCCAGCCCAGCCCCTCAGTTTGCTAGACAAGGCGTGGGGGTGGAGAGTGGGGCGGAAGGCTATGGGGGTGCCTCCTTGGATTCCAGTGAGCTGTGGTGGCTCATGCTCTGTGTTTAAAATACCTACCACGTCTAGGCTAAACCAAGCATCATGAGGAAAACCAACCCAGACTACACCTCCAAGGAAGTTGAGCAGGCCAGCCTCCAGCCATGTTTCTCATGTGCATGGGGCCTAGGTTGGAAGAGACGACAGGGTCACCTTGGTTTTATGTGCTCATATCACAGAGTCTCGGGGACAGTAGGCTTGGTTCAGGCATTCGGTTTCACTCGGGCATATGCAGTGGCTGTGTGCTGGGAGAACACCGCTTACTGAGTGGAAAATTGACCAACTCCAGATGGATCTTGTCTCTGGCCCTTCCTGTGCATTTGGTGTTCACATACGCTCTTGCTAAGTAGCAGACAGACAGATGTCTCAGTTCCCACCTAGGTGGTTCTCTCCTAATGAAGAACAATATCGTGGTGTCCCAGAAAGACTGGATATAGTCCCTTGTGTGTAGTCCCTTAGGAAGTGGGTGTCAGCTGTATTTTCTGCAGTCGCTTCATCTAGGACTTGCATTGTGCCAGGAGGGTGAGGACGGAGATGATCAAATGTCCCTCGGATCTCTTGGGTTGGAAATCAGAGCCTAGGGAAACTTCTAGAAACTTGATGGGACCCCTGGGCTAGTCGATCTCCTCACAACCTTTCCCAATCACTCTGAGGAGGAGCAGCTATTGTTGCTAAGAAGCCTTCTGTCGAGTCCCTTGCCTGTGGAGAGGTCCCTTCCCAGCCCTGCCCAGGACTTGCTGCCAACATTTTTGCTTTGCAAACTCCCAGGGAGTTTCACAAGATGTTTACATCAGGGACGTGTCCGTTCCTGTCCTGCAACTAGAGAGGCTTTGACACACCCCTCACCACACAGCTGCACTTCTGAGAGATGGGGTGTATTGGGGTTCTTTAGATTTCTTCTTCCTGAAGCTTCTGGCCAGGGTCCAGGCATACCCTGGAGCGGTGACCACTGTGAAGCAAGGGGTTGTTTCTGTCCTTGCTAATAGAAGATAGAGCCATGCCCATCGGGTTCAGCACACAGTGTCTCGGTGGCTAAGAATGCGGTCTTCACTGTTACGTGCCTGTCTGTGTGTCCTAGCTCTATGGCTTTCCAGTCCTGTGACACTGGACGGATGACCTGGATCCGTGTTCTCGTTTGCAATGTGGTGTACTGAGCCACAGAGTCACATCTCAGGACCGTCATGGGTTCTGACTAGTTTATGACACACAGAGACGGCATACGGTCTCCCTGGATGCAGTGAACTCTAAGCACAACAAGGTGGTATCCCTCAGCATCTGTCAGCGAGGGCAGGACAGGATACCCCTCCCCCCACCTCAAGAAAGAGAGTTGTCGACTGGCCACCAGCTCCAGGCCCACCTACTTGTCCTAACCCTCACACAGAGGGTACCAACTCCACCAGAATGCAGGAGGCTTTACCCAGCAGCCCCTAGTTGGCTAGACCCAACTAGGCGTTTTTACTGCTTGACTGTAGGCTGACACGTCTTAGCAAAATCACAGGTAGGAAATTGGTAGTCTGTAGGAGTGAGACCCTCTTCTTCCTCTGTATCCCAGCATGCACCGGGATGTGAGGGCGGGGCCTTCAGGGCAGGAACTGAATCTGTCTGAGGAGGAACTGAGTCCTGGGGGCAGAAGAAAAAAATAAACCTACTAGTTTTGCTTCTAGAGTGAAGTGGGTTGGGAGGGGCGGGGGATGTTAGACACACCCTGGTGAGGAGGTGGGCAAGTCCTGCCTTGAGGAAAGATGACCTTGGTCTCACAGTGTGGGCCCTGAAGAACATCCGGTGATGGTTCTTTAAGGCCTGGGAATCTGGGCTTGGCTTGTGGCTAGGCAGTAGCAGGAGCTGAGTGGAGGTATTTCCATTCTCCTTCTGCAGAGAGAACTGCTCGCCTGCCTCTCCATCCACTTACATCATTGGTATTTTGTCTATTCGAATGTGATTTCTCTAAAATACTGAGAGGACTTTAAGATGCTCCGAAGACCCACTGGCCCGTCCCAGCAGCTCTGGTACTTTCCCCTTCTCCCTTGAACAGCTCCAGGGTGGGGCCTTGTTTCCCCAGTAGGTCCCAGGAGTTTCCTTTGCAAACTGGAGGGAAAAATGTATTTTTTTCTTTCTTTCTTTCTTTCCTTCTTTCCTTCTTTCGTTCTTTCCCTCTTTCTTTCTTTCTTTCTTTCTTTCTTTCTCTCTTCTTCTTCTTCTTCTTCTTCTTCTTCTTCTTCTTCTTCTTTTTCTTTTCCTTTTCTTTCTTTTTCTTTTTTTCTTTTTTGAGACAGGATCTCATCTTGTTAAAGCCATGCTGACTTTTAATTGCCAGTATAGTCAAGAATGACCCCAAACTTCTGTGTCCCAAATGTTGGGGTGACAGGTACACTTGGTTGGGAACCAAACCAAGGCTTCGTCCTTGCAAGGTGAACAACTGAGTTACATCTCTAGCCCCCCTCCCCCAAAAGTGCAGTTTGAAAAACTCTCCAGCTAGCAAGAGGTTGGACAGAAAGCAAGAACTTCCCCCACACAGCTTGCAGAAGGAAAGATAAAGAAACAGGCACCCACAAAGCCTCCCTCCCCCCGAAAAGAGAGTCAAGATTAAGGCCACACTACACTGCAATCTCAAACCCTTGTCCTGACTGGATGTTCAAACAGTTCGGACCACAGATAGTCCAATAGGACATTCCTATTGGGCAGTAAGACCTGCTGTCCCCACCCCAGGTGCTAGAGGACCTACTTCCTGTCACTGTGGGCTTGTTGGCATTTTAAGTTTTCTAAAGAGCCACAACAGTGTGGCTTTCTGGGTTTGGCTTTGTTCCTTGGCGTCACTGGGTGAAGACTCATGAAATGCTTCACGGGTCACTAGCTCACTCCTTTAATAGCCGAGTGGCGTCCTTGGCGTACATACATCACACCGTGTTTACCCAGCCACCTGGCAATTGGCATGTGGTTGGTTTCCAGCTCCGGGCTATCAGAAACGATGTGGCAGCGTTTGTGTGTCTGAGTCCGGGATGGTTTTGTTTCTCTTGGGCGATAGAGGTCAAAGGGCAACGGAGAGATGAGATGGTACAGGATGACAGCTGCCAATCTTCCATGAAGTTGCCACACTGTCTCCAACTCGGTCATTCCCTGAGTACAAAGTT